GGGGTTTGAGTATGCCAAGGACCCTGAGAGCTATACCAGTGACCTCCATTGGAGATATGAGGTTCTTTTACGTGCCGTAAAGCGTAGCGTAGCATCAGACGAAGAGAGACACCAAAAACCAAAAACCAAAAACTGATGCCGGAAGCAGCGTCATCAGTAGCGACTTGAAGCACAGAACAAATGATGCTCGAGATGGTTCAAGTTCGTATAGCAACAGGCGTGACCAGAGTGGTTTGAACGGCTGCTGTACTGCGATGTGGAAAGCAAATGGAAAAACTACCACATTATCACTTTTCCTGGATAGTCTCTTTCCAAAAACAGAAGATCGCATTAAGTGGAGGAGCTGTTTTGGAAGGGATTGTGGACCTGTCGTCTGACAGATTACTGATGAATGAATGAAAGCTACGACACGGGACCCACGGCTTAAAGTCCCTCCTGGAGGACTTGTTCCCTGAATTTTTCCGCCCTTAAAAATTCGACGACCTCCACCGGATATTTGAACCCACGTACTACGAGTCATAGGTGGGAACGTTACCTCTGGACTACGGAGGCCGCTTTGCTTGGCGTTATCTATAATAATTACAAGACAATTTAGTACCAGTTTATTAGCTTTAGGCCATTTGTTTAAGGAGAAAAAGACATCATGCATGATGTTTGTGCCATACATTGTTTAGGTAGGATTTAAAACATTGTCCTGCTAAACTCCGAATTCCATATGTACATCGAAAAGTACCTGAAGATGGTACTTTAGTGCTGAAACATGTAGTGCAAGAGAGAAGAGTAAGGTGAATAAATGTATGCACTGTAAGACGGTCAGAATAAATCATGGACACAAATCAGTGCAACAGGACGCTAAAATATAATATTAATGTTAATTTATTTTAACGAAAACTGAAAGACATTCTTATCTTGAAAGCTTTCTATTCTATTGATGAATATATTGCAAATATGTAATTGTATTATATACATATTGCGTCTAGGTTGTGTCTACTTGGACTTGGTTGCATATCGCAACTACTTATAATTATTTTGACAAGCTCAATATCCGGCCCAATAAACGGGCAACGGATCTGTGAAGCTATGTATGTATGTATGTATGTATGATGTTTGTCAGAGTTCTGCAATTATTTTATTGCTTTTCATGTATTATTAAATGCAATCTTAATCTTGTTCACAAGAGCGTGTATCAGATTCTCAAGTTTCTTTATTCTACTGAAATTAATAACCAATGGAAACCTCAGTATTATTTATTACTTCCTATACGTGATTTATAACACATTAATGTAACTGAAAAGCTATGTTTTTGTAGCTTTCAAGTATAAGTTGTAAGCACAGTTATGAAGTTGCATACAAGTATCTCTGATGGAAACAGAATTTTCTTTCAAGTTTACCCACCATCAGCTTTCCTAAACACAAGTATTCTATATATGTTATAGTTCAAATATCCATTGCATTTCAGTAAGGGGGTGTTGAATTGATGTAAATGAAATGTTCTTATTTTACAGGCACTGGTGAGAAACTTTCTCACGATAAATAATGTTGCAACCTGATATCTTGTACTGCAGAGGTTCTTACTCTGTTATGTGTTTTCTGTTTTCGAACTGAGTTTGATATCATTTAACTCATTCCCCTCCAGATGGTTTTGAGCGAAGTGATGTTATACTCAGTTCGAAAACAGAAAACACAACGGAGTAAGAACCTCTGCAGTACAAGATATCAGTTTGCAACATTATTTATTGGGAGATCGTTTCCCACCAGTGCCTGTAAAATATGAACATTTCTAATGTTATATTTTAGCGTCCTGTTGCACTGATTTAAGTCCATGATTTATTTAAACTGTCTTGCAGTGCATACACTCATCTATCTCCTTCTCTCACTCGCACTACATGTTTCGGCATAATAATGCCATCTTCAGGTGCTTACTCATCCACGCCAAACTAGTTCATTGCATGCCTTGTCCTCACATTAAAATAACTAAAATATATATCTATCATATATATTGACAAATGTCGAACGTTAAAAATATTAAAATTGTTCAGGATTCCACATCGCTACGTCGCACCTCACTACGCCAGTCACGCCCATTCTCCTCTGTTGGAGCACTCCTTCACTATTGTGTGTGTGTCTGTAACGTGAATTTTTTTATTCATTAATACCGCGTTCCGTATTTTATTTATTATTTGTGGTATTATAATTTTTTAATAATACTCACTATGCTTTTGTTGTGTCTTGCTCCTGTGACTGCGTGTGTTATACTGTTGGGCCTGCTGGGTATGTGTGTGTGTTCTGTCTTCGTTTTGAGTGAGTTATGATGTTGTGGGCGTAGATGTGGTGGGGTGTTGTTATGTTGTTCTGTGTAGATAGTGTTTAATTCGTGGTATATTGGGTTGTATATTTCTTTATTTATGTTATTCATGTGTGTGTTTTTCTTTGTCGTTCTATATATATGGTAGTTCTCCAATGTGTTCAAGTATTGCCCCTTCCTACCTGTTGCTATGATATCCATAGTGTTTTCTATAGTACCATATGCATGTCCTGTGTTTAATATGTGTTCTGAGTATCCTGTATTGCTGTTATTGTGTCTTATGTCATGTATGTGTTCTTTATATCTGGTATTAAATTTCCTCCCGGTCTGTCCTATATATTCCTTGGGGCAATCTAGGCATTTCATACTATATATGCCGCTATTGTTATATTTATTTATTTCTGGTCTTGATTTTAGTATATGTTGTAAATTGTTCTTAGTTCTAAATGCTATTTTTAATTTTGTGTCTCGAAATAATTTTGTGATATTTCTTGTTTCTTTTCCTATATATGTGAATGTTGCCCATTTCGTTTTTGTTTTTTGTT